CTAAACTTTCTCAGGAATTCGATGTATTTCCTGTAATAGATCTACACCTGCCTTCTGGTTCATTCTTTAGATTTTTTGGAGAAAAACACGGCCATAGAAGTCTTGCACGAACAAAAAATAGGTTATATTTCGCGCCAGTTGAAGATGTAGTTTGAAATGGTGTCAACAGTGTGCTCCCTGCCCGAGATTTTTGTCTTCAACTGTTTATTGGCCAGAAAAGGGGGAAGCAAGATCATCGTTCAAGAAGTTGTGCGAGTATGATTATAGATTATTAATATAGCGTTAGGGGATGAGGGAAATCGTCACAGAAGAAATTTACAATAGACATTGTGCAAGACAAGGATTCGATGCTGCATCAATAAGATGTGACAGGATGGAATGCTTAGAAAAAAACAATTAAAATATGCTTTGCAGGTCTATGATGACTTTGCTAAAATGTTTCTGTTTGCTACTAGTGTAATCATGTACTTAGTACTACAGGTGAGAGTTATAACCACGAACCTGATACTGAATACATTTTGAACAGGGAAACTGATTAAATTATAAAACCGCTTTACAAAATCTAATGTAATAACTAAAACAGATAAGTAACGAAATACCTTAAAGTGCGTCAAGTAAATTTGGAAATGACGCTGTTTAAACCACTGTAATCGTAAAAGGAAAAATGAAATAAAACAATAATGGTTAAGGCAATCCTGCGTAAGTAGGGAGATACCTCAAACGGGTCATCACGATTTTCTGGCAGGCTACTGATATGCTATCGAAGATCTGAGTAGCGATTGTGTTAGGGAGGAAGCAGAGGAGCGGCGGGAGGGGCGGCAATGGATCACACGCGTAGAATGACTCCGGACGTCGCTCCGACGCGTAGGAAACCCGGAAGACCCCGGGTGTCGCCCGCTGTAGGAAGAGAAGCGCAACGGAGGAAGCGGCCGTCGCGATGGCGTAAGCGGGCGCGGCGGGGAGCGGAGGGAGGGAGGGAGTGAGGCGAGGGAGGAGGGAGGGAGGGGAGGGGAGGCGGTGGCGGGGAGGGGCGGTGAGGGAGGGCGGGCGTTCAAGGTTAAATACCGCCGAATGCTAATAGCGCGTGCGTCGCCGCCCTCGCCCCGGGGCCGGCGCGTGGCCTCCCCAAGAAGTGTCTCTCGAGGGTCTCTTTACGTGGCCGTAAACCAGGGTCGCGCTCCAACGCCGTCTACCCCTCCACCGCGAGCCGTGTTCGAGAATCGATTCCCTGCGGAGCCTCGGGCGAGGTCGGGTCGACGATGATGCCACATGGGGACACTTTAAGGCTGCTATAACGGTCCCAAATGTAAGAGCTTTCTGCCATGGAATGGTTCTACCATCGCTAGAGGTAATGAGATATTTACATTCTATAAAAAAATGACCTTCAAAAGTTGTCGCTAACTCGCGAATTCAACTTCAAAATAACTACAGGTGGTTCAGAAAAAACGTTACAAACTTCTAGGACATTTAGGATCGAAGTTTGAAACTTTATATCAGTGAACACGTGGGGAAAATCTCATATCACAAATTTACCGCGTTGACTAAGTCTAATCGTTCAATGACACTTCTATGCATATATCAAACCTCATAGCCGTCAATTCGAGACATTCTGTAGTCGAAGCTGAACAAAAACTCGATATTGTCATTGGACATGGGCAGGTCGTGTCTACAGAGTCCAAGTACATGCCAAACATTAGAGCAGGATAAGTTACCTACGAATCAAGGGCGCCAAGTCGAAAACGTCACATCTAGAATTTTGTTGTATGATTTTACACAGGTTTATTGGTAAAGCTTGATCATATTTGACCCACCTAAACGGCATAAAAGTTTGTAACAGTTTTCCTGAACCCTCTGTAAATATGCAGTAATTAAACAAACACTAACAGTATTCTTAAATGAAATAAGCAAAAAATGACAAAAATGTAATAGGTACGTAATATTTAACTGTCAAGTTTTCGTGAAAAGTTAATATTACTGGTAAATCTACCGGTGGTTAAAGTTGATTCCAACGCCCTTTTGAATACCACAACATTCTCGATTACACTCCCTATGATTCAAGACCTTGCTATGACATATAGGATGCTAATGATGTGTACTAACAGCATCTACCGTAAATTTATATACAAGATGAATTTACTTGCACCGTCTTTGCGTTATTACCGTGATGCAACTATAATTAATTATTGAACTATTCAGTTGTTAATATAACCAACTTCTTCACTTTATCTATTGTTAGACTTTATTACTCACTTGCCCCTGGTGTCAGTATTGCTACAGCCATCTTTCCCTTGTAATCAACCGCAAACTTTAATCTTCACTGTCGCAACAGTGTTCACACTCCATCATTCATCATAATAATTTTTGTCCAATTCTGCTTGCAATTTTATTCTCACGCCACTTCTCCAGGATATTCGAATCTTATCATCTCCCGTTTAAACTGCAAACTGTTCTCTGCTCCAACATTTTACAAATACACACACACACACACACACACACACACAAAATCTCACTTACGGACCCATGAGCTCTCTCTCTGTCTCTGTCTGTCTGTCTGTCTGTCTGTCTGTCTGTCTCTCTCTCTCTCTCTCTCTCTCTCTCTCTCTCTCCCCGGCTGTCTTCCTCTCTACGTCTCCCAATCTCTATCTCTCTCCCCCACACCCTTCTGCATTAACCCACACGCACTCCCACCGGCAGCCTTCAAAACTTGCGCATTCCCTACCCCTCGGCCTTTGTGATCAAGCCGGCCGCCTCCCGCTAGCGCCTCGGGCGCCACTTCACGAGTCGCAGCGCGTCGCGGCCCATAAAGCGCGCCGTCCTCCGCCGGCCGCGCTGCCATGCATCAATCATCTGCACGCGCGAGGTTAGAGTTGCGGCCCGGGGCCAGAGTCCGACGGCGGTAATGGTCGGGCCTCGGCTCCCATTTTCACTACCGGACGAGTCAAATTTTTCTCGCCTAGTTGACAGATTTTCAATTCCGCGTTGCCAAGTAAACAAAAGAAATGACGTTCCCAAACATGGTCGGCGATGCTATTAATTTTGTAAATTATTATTTTCCGCCTGGGGTAAATGGCAATCTGGCTGGGCTGTCCCAATAGTGGAAACTGTTATTACAGTGGCAGTTACACACAAGAGTTGCAATGCTACCAAGCCTGCGAGCGAATTATGTGGCTCGGCGAAATAGAGCATTAACTCTAGAGAGAGAGAATAAAGCCAGACTTCCCTCCAGAGTCACACAAATCCGAAATATCTTCCACAACATATATTTGCCACACAAGGGAATGAGACAAGTTAAATTTCATCACGTTTCTATGTTTAAATACCACTATAACTTACAATTTTACTAGCG